GACATTATATGTATTATGGTTGCCATTTTTGTAAAAACATACACAACTATGTGCACATGAATAAATATGCAAATATGTTCTTAAGAATACACACCAAAATTTCATAGAAACCATCTCTGGGTAACTGATTACCTTCACGTATATTTTCTATTTTTCTACAATAAATAATTCATGAATTATTTTTGTTTTAAAAAGAGTCGTAATTTCTCTTTACCTCCATCCTATCTTTTTGCTTATAAGAAGCTATGACATTTGTACCTAAACTCAGCTAACTTACAGCAGTGTTTAAGGGTGGTCTAAAGTGATATGAGGAATTTAAAGAAAATCCCTATAAATAAAAAAGCAGAACATGATAATATCTCCTTTAATGAAGATGAATTCCAGAAACACAGCACTGGTGGGAATGTTGTTACTGAAAGAGAAAATTTCAGAGGGCAGGGTTGCATTTCAAAGATACTGCATGTTATAAGGGCAATTTCTTCCCTACCTTCTAACTCCAACCTACAAGATGCTCAACAAGACTTTATTCCAGCTGGGTGCAGTGGCTCACGCCTGTAATCCCAGCACTTTGGGAGGCCGAGGCAAAGTGGAACTCAGGAATTCAAGCCCAGCCTGGGCAACATGGTGAAACCCCATCTCTACCAAAAACACAAAGAACTAGCCAGGTGTGGTGGCTCAAACTGGTGTTCCCAGCTACCTGGGAAGTTGAGGTGGGAGGATCACTTGAGCCTGGGAGGTGAAGGCTGCAGTGAGCCAAGATTGTGCCACTGCACTTCAACCTGGGTTGACAGAGTAAGACCCCAACTCAAAAAAAAAAAAAAAGAGAGAAGAATAACTGTCTTGTTATTTCAAAAAAAAAAAAAGAGAGAGAGAGAGAGACTTTCTTCTTGGATTCAGTTAATCATGTTACCTGCCACTTCTTTGAAAGAACCTATTGTTGGATTTGTCAAAAATGTTCACAAACAAGTAACATTTCTCCTCAAAGATTTTTAAGCCCTCCTTGGTACTGATTTTAAAACATTACATATGAGGTTATATGCATAATAAGGCCCAAATTTACTATATGCTCTACTAGGCACTCTGGATGCTCTCTTAAGTCACCTTCCACTCAACTCCATTGAAGAGGATGCTTCATTAGGCATAGGAGGGACTTATCCAAGCACATGGGAGCAAAATCCAGGTCTCCTTCCACTTACACTCTGCTTACTACCTTTTATGTGTTATAAATACAAATAGTTACATATCACTCAGGTCCCTTCCAGCTGATCCTCTAACCAGAGAAGACAGCAACTGCCCTATGCTATTCACAAATATCAGCTAAAAAACTGAAAAGTTACTAAATTCAACCATAAGCAAATAATGACAGTATATCCACAATATAGCATACTATTCAGTGTTTACAAAGGATAATGTAAATACAGAATTTCTTTGTTTTCCATTGCAAGCCCACTGATCTCCCTTCTTTCATTTAAGGAAATGAGGGAGGTCTACTGTGGGCAAGGCACTTTGGAAAATACAAAAATAAGTAAAACACACCCTCTGTCCTCAAAAAATTCTTACACACAAATGAAAAAGACATACACGAACTATTAAATAGGAAGGAACACTGCTATCAATAAATACAATCAAACATCAAGAACTCTTGGAAAACTCAATTTTCAAGTAAAACTCGTTGTACTCCTCTAAAGAACGAAAGCTTTCCTTAAAATTAAACATCCTAGGCTGGGTGCAGTGGCTCATGCCTGTAATCCCAGCACTTCGGGAGGCCGAGGCAGGCGGATCACAAAGTCAAGAGTTAGAGACCACCCTAGCGAACACGGTGAAACCCCATCTCTACTAAAAACACAAAAAAATTAGCCAGGCGTGGTGGTGCGCACCTGTAATCTCAGCTACTCGGGAGGCTGAGACAGGAGAATCACTTGAACCCGGGAGGCAGAGGTTGCAGTGAGCCGAGATCACACCACTGCACTCCAGCCTGGGCGACAGAGTGAGACTCCGTCTCAAAAAAAAAAAAAAACAAAAAAAAAGATATCCTCATTTTTCTAACAAGTGAAGTAATCATAGATTGTACAAAAGGTCACAGAGGAATAAACAAGGTGGTGTGACAGAGTAACTGGGAATGCCTTACTTCTGTTAATGGTGCATCAGAAAGGCCTCTCGCAGTTTTGTTCTGTTTATTCCCAAAGACAAGCTGGCCAGACAGCCAGGCCAGGGACCAGAGCAGTAGAAAGAAGAAAGATCATCCTAGTGATCAGAGGAGTGTTAAGGAAAATCCCTAATTTCTTCTTTTTGGTTTTTTGTGGTTTTTTTTTCTTGAGACGGAGTCTTGCTCTGTTGCCCAGGATAGAGTGCGGTGCAGTGGTGCAATCTCGGCTCACTGCAACCTCCAGCACCGAGGTTCAAGTGATTCTTGTGTCTCAGCCTCCTGAGTAGCTGGGACTACAGGCGTGTGCCACCACGTCCGGCTAATTTTTGTATTTTTTGTAGAGACACGGTTTTGACATGTTGCCCGGGCTGGTCTCAAACTCCTGACCTCAGGTGATCCACCCGCCTAGGCCTCCCAAAGTGCTGAGATTACAGGCGTGAGCCACCATGCCTGGCCAAGCCCATATTTCATCACAGATGTATAAAGTGGCTTAGGATAAGTTACAGTGACTTGATCAAGTTCTCAAGATGGGATTGAGGAAACAGCTGTGATTTCAGAAGACAGGTGACATTCTGGAAAGGAAAGAATATAAACACAGCTTTTGGCTAGAGCAAGAGACTCAGAAGAGGGGCCCTGAATGTGGGGCTGGAATCCTGAAAGCAATGAGGGATATGCATAATCAGACTGCGGGAAAAACAACTTCTGTACAAAAGGTTTTGTTTGAGATAGGGTTTTTTGTGGGTGTCTGTTTGCAAGGGGAGGAATTACAGTAGAGAAATAAATTAAGAGACTACGACAACTGATTTGGCGGGAAATTTTAAAAGTTGACCCGAGGAGGTGGTAAGAGAAAAGAAGAAAAAGAGACAGTTGGGACAGCCACTCTGGGAATATTTGAGTGCATGTCTAACAGCGATACCAGAAGTATACCTGCAGAATCCAACATGTAAATACCTCAAACCCTAATACACGGAATAAACCCTGAATGTTTTGTTTTCGCAAATGTGTCTAGCATTTTCCCACAAACCCCAATGATTCAACCTTCTTTCTACCTGTTTCATGAATGTGTGTTTCATGCTACCTTTTTAAAATCTTAACAGAAGAGGGTCAGAGATATTAATTCAAAACGCCACCTACTTTTAAAGTTATTCTACTCAGATGGTACACAAATGTCAAAAGCAACCACTGTTTCTTAAGTTCAGGTCCCACACAGGCCACAAAAGGATAGAATTTGGAAATTTTAAAGAATCTAAAGGACCTGTACTAGGTTTAACATGAGTAATGCTCAACGTGTTAAACCTAGCACAGATCCTTTAGATTGTTGAGTAATGCTATTTTTAGATCAAGCAACACTCCTCCACGTGCAAGTTTTTCCAAATGATACTAACAAGGTCAAGGATCATATCCTATCTAAAAACAAGACGATATAACACAGCTAAGACCTCTTGCAATGGCTTATCTACAAGTACTGTGACATAAAAATTGTATTTATTTATATCTTTACGTTTTTATATGTTTTATGTTGGGAAATACTTTTATTATTTGTATTGTGTTCATATGTCTGCCTTCACTCTTATTCATATTTTTATTTATGGCAGAGTTAAATTGTACTACAATCCTTGAAAAATTAAAAGGTCTTACATTATAACAGCATTTCACGTTCCTTGGATAATTTGGGTTTCAGAAGAAGCTTGTGAAACTTACAAAGAAAGCTATAATCATCCCCTCTGTACAGGGTAACACTGGAACTCAGAAAGATTAAGTAACTTTACTAATTCAAGATCGCACAGTAATTGGCAAGAGCAGGGCCCCAATCAGGCCTTCTCTTTATTCCTGCTCTCCTCCCCACAGGACACTACCAATTTAATATTTCAATATTCATGTGCCTCTCTTCAGTAAACCTGGACTGTAAGAGCCATACTGTTGCCGCCCAGCCCTCACCCTGGGTCTCTAAATGCAGCAGCAACACTAGTTACTCTTCAGTAAACAGAAACACGAGCACGCGCTTCAGTCAGGACCCCATTCAACGCTGGGTTTGCTCTACTGCACAAAACTTACTAAAACACATTACAGCCTTCATGCCTAACCCTCAATGGAACTGTCCTTTTCACTCTGGGAAATTCAGTCACAGGTGACTCATCCCGTTAGCTTACAGTTTAGTAAATTAATAATTTTATATACCGAGGGAAAAGAACGAATTACACAGACCTCTCCCTTCCCCACCCCCAAAGTTGCTTAAGTGTCAACGCACGGTAGTAAAGCACAAAGAAGTGGGGCTGGACCTACCTAGCGTTTCTCCCCTCTGTTCCTCCTCTCTGCTACTCCGACCGTCCTCCGGCCACCCATCTCTCAGAGACCGGCGGGTCGCTTCCACCCCCCACCCCGCAGGGACCCGACGGACGGCCCGGCAGCCTCCAGCGCCCAGACCCGAGCCCCGCCGGTGCCGCGGCTGTGGAGGCTCGCGACGCTCGGGCTGCCCTGTTTCACCGCGCCGCTACCTGCCCCCGGCAGCCCGCACACCTGGCGGCCCCAGCCCCAGCGCGAGGAACCAGCCCCAGAACGCGGAGGTCTAGCGCGGCCGCGCGACCCCGCACAAGCCAGCTTCCGCCCCAGCCCACATGGCCGCGGCGGGCGGCGGCCCCCGCCCCCGCGTGAGCCCCGCGCGGCTCCCGAGGACCCGGGGACCCCAGGAGGCAGGAGGGGGCGGTGGCGACGCGGGTGGGGGGAGGAGGAAACGCGGCCGGGGGGAGGAGGAGGAGCGCGTCCCGACTCGCCCCAAGAGCGGGAGGAGCCAGCAAGGGAGAGGCGAAGAGGAGTCCCGCGGTGGCGGCAGATCCGCGGGGCAGCGGGCGTCTACCTGCGAGCAGAAGTACGAGCCCTGGATGCCCAGCTTGATGCAGGTGGGACACTGGAGCTTGGCCTCACTGCTGCAGCCGTCTGTCTCGCACACCCGCGTCTCCACGGCCGCCATGCTGCCTGCCCGCTGGAAGAGCGCCTCACCGAGGAAGAGGCGGCGGCGGGAGGGAAGAACGGCCGGGCGGAGGGGAGGGGAGAGAGACCGAGTCGGGGGAGGAGCAAGGCCTGCCGCGGGCCTGGGCGCGGAAGGGGGAGGAGCCCAGGGCCGACCGGGACCACGCAGCGCGCCCCGCCCCCGCCCCGCGCGCGCAGCTGGTGCCCCGCCCCGCCACCTTCGCCCCGCCCCCCCGCCCGCCGCTCGCGGTGGCTGGGTGCCCAAGCCTCCTAGCGGCGCGCACGTTGGGGCTGTAAGGGAGCTCGGCAGGGCCCCTCCCATTCGGCGCCTTCGGGCGTCGGCCAGCGCAGAGCGCGACCTGCCTGCGCCTGGCTGTGAGGAGCTGCCCTCTCGCGGCGCACTCTCTGTGCCTACAGTCTGATAAGGCAGTTGTCCTCACTGACAAACACCCAAGAGCCCTGATCATCCCCGACACCCGCAGGCGGCTGGAGAGGGCGCTGCGCTCCTCTGCGTTGGTTCCCCCCGGACGCTCCTTGGAGAACAGTCCCCTGGGTTAAGTTCTATTTCTCACTGACATTGTCAGGTCTGAGGCCTAAAGACCACCGCTCATTCACAGAAAGGAGAGCCATAGAACTGTCAACGAGAAGCTGGGCTGGAATTCACATCTGCCCTCCCTCCTGCCCGATTTTTTTTTCCACACCACCAACCCCCCTTCAAAAACGATAGCGCTAGTAATAGTAACACAACTATCAGGTATTCAATACAAATAATAATTGTTTGTATTATCCCAGTTGATTGCTTCCGCGGTAAATAGGGGAGAATTGTGCTGATCCTGAAATGTCAGAGTCGAAAGAAGCTGCAGAGGCCTTCCGCTGCGAACCTGTTGCCTCAATCTTTTCATCTGTATTCCAGGTCTGCCGTGTTGTAACTCATGCTTGAGTGCCTCCCTGTCACTAGGGAGGAGCGAAAAACTAGCATTTACTGATCACAAAAGGCTGTGAACTTTGTTATCTTACTGTATTTTTTTAGCTTCTCCGTACTTAATACACCGGAAAAGCTCATATTACTTTTATTTTTAAGAACTTCGTTTTGGCTAGGAGCAGTGGCTCACGCCTGTAATCAATCCCAGCACTTTGAGAGGCCAGGGCATCCAGGGCACCAAGGCCCGCGGATTCTTTGAGGCCAGGAGTTCGAGACCAGCGTGGAAATATGACAAAACCCCGTCTCTACAAAAACTAAAACTAAAAACTAAAAAATTAGCTGGGCGTGGCGGTGGGCACCTGTAGTCCCAGCTACTGAGGAGGCTGAGCCAGGAGGATCCGTTGAACCTGAGAAGTCAAGGATATGGTGAGCTATGATCCCGCCACTGCACTCCAGCCCAGACGACAGAGCAAGACCATGTCTCAAAAAAAAAAAAAAAAGAACTTAGTTTTGCAATATAAGCAGTACGAATGATGTAATAAAATCAAGAAGTAGAAATGTTTACATGCATACGTACATACACTTTTGTATACAAGAAAACAGAAAAATCGGTATAAGTATGTATGTATATATAAAATATTTTTTAAATAAAAACTGTATCACACCATGTAAAGTAATTTACTTACCTGATTTATTCAGTTACTATGATGTGAACTTTTTGTTTGTTGTTTGGTTTTTCTTTGAGATAGCATCTCATTCTGTCAACCAGGCTGGAGTGCAGTGGTATTCACAGCTAACTGCATCCTCAACATCCTGAGCTCAAGTGATGTTTCTGCCTCAGCCTCTGGAGTAGCTAGGACTACAGGTACACGCCACCTTGCCCAGCTAATTTTTTCCCTTTTTTGTAGAGACGGGGGTCTCGCTGTGTTGCCCAGGCTGGTCTTGAACTCCTAAGCTGAAGTGATCCTGTCACCCCCGCCTCCCAAAGTGCTGGGATTACTGGCATAAGCCACTGCACACATTCTTTATTGCCATCAATTATACTTTTACCACATAATTTTAATGTCTGTATAATATTCTATTGTATGGGTAATTTACTGGACCAAATCCACTAATAATAGATATATAGGTTATTTTAAATTGTTATCTATCATAAACAAGGTTTCAGTGACTATCCATTTACCTAAAACTTTACATACATCCTTATTTACTTAGGATATATTCTTTATATTTTTTAAATAGCGACAGGGTCTCCCTATGTTGCCCAGGGTAGTCTCGAACTCCTGGTCTCAAGCCATCCACCCACCTTGGCCTCCCAAAGTGCTGGGATGAGCAGGCATGCAGCCTGCATGCAGGCGTGAGGTGAGGAGGCCTTCAGATATAGTCTTAAAAGTGGAATTGCCACATTAAGAGTTTTCACTGTCTTTTGCTCTTTATATAGTTTGCCATACTTTTACATATCTCAGTGTAACTCTCTGCAAAGCATTTATCATTTAAAAAGGAAAAATAGTAACTTTAAAGTGGAGAGACCTGGGAGATACTCTCTTTATTGTGATCAAAGTGAAAATCACCAATAATGTGACAAATAGACATTGTACCCTCTCTATATGAACCATTGAGGAGAATACAGCATTATCTTTTGCAGTGTTCTTGAAAAAAATGCATAAATGACTGTAATCACGAGGAAATATCAGACAAACCCAAGCTGAACACATTCTGCAATATAATTGACCTATGCTCTTCAAAATGCCAATGTCCCAAAAGACAAAGATTTGAAGAACTCTTCCAGATTCAAAGAGACTGAAGAGACGTGACAGCTAAATGCAACACATGATCATGGGTTGGATTTTTGGATCAAAAGAAAGATGTTTTTGCTATAAAGGAAATTAGGTTGCATTGTATGCTTATGAATTCCCTGATTTTTGACAGTTACACATAGTGGGAGTCAGAAAGAGAATGAATGATAAGACAAATGTGAGAGAAGGTTAAAAATTGGAGAACCTGGGTATACCAGAGTTCTTTATTTTTTCAATTTGCTACTTTTCTACAGCTTTGAAATTATTTTAAAATAAAATAAAGTTTTAGAAATTCTTCCTCTCAAAAGCAAGTAAATGGTGCTAAAAATTAAAAATTAGAATTAAAAATTCTTCCTAGATGCACAACTGCAGGATCAAGTCCAATCCAGGCTCTTTCTATATACCTCCACTTAACTCAGCCTCATCTCATTATTTTTCATGCCTAGGTCTTGACCATTTAGCAAGAGCAATATGCTCATGTTTTCCTGAACACATAGTGCTATTTCATTCTTCCATGTTCTTATACATGTTGTTTCCTCTGTCTGGATTGCCTTTCCCCAATTGATCTCTTGGTGAAAGTACTATTTCTTTAAGATCCAGCTCTGACATCACTTCACCCATTAAACTTTTGCTGACCTCCTTAACTCTACTTAATCAGTGCCTCCTCTGTGCTACCTCTAAACCAAGTACAAAGTGCTATTGCTACAATTGACAATAATTTTAGGTAATATTTATTAAGGACATAATATATCCTAGGCATATACATACATGTGTATGACATTCTAACACTTGGGTCAATGACAGACCACATATACAACAACAATGGTCTCATAAGATTATTATACCATATTTTTACTGGACCTTTGTATGTTGAGATACGTTTAGATACACACATACTACTGTGTTACAATTGCCTACAGTATTCAGTACAGTAACATGCTGTACAGGTTTGTAACCTCAAAGCAATAGACTGCCTGTGCACCATACAGCCAGCCATGTAGTAGGCTATACCACCTAGGTTTGTGTAAGGACACTTTATGATATTCACACAACCACAAAATCACCTAACAATGCATTTCTCAGAGCATATCCCCATGGTTAAGCAACACATAACTAGTGAGATGTAGAAGTATAGATACTAGTGCTTTTACTTTTAATCCTCACAACTACCCTATAAGGAAGGTACCAGTAGTAATCCCATTTTTATTTCTGTAGCCCAAGGTCACATAGCCAATAGGTAACAGAGCCTAGAATTGAGCTCAGGTTTCTCAGACTACAAATCCCATGTTTTTAGCGACTATACTTCATTACCTTTAATTTTTCACCTGTGTCTCCTACTAGACTGTGACTTCCTTGTAACAAGAGATTTAATTTATTTTTCTCTCTATCTCCAAACCTTAACCCTAGCACAATGCTTGATATATAATAGGTGCTCAATAAGTGTTTGGCTGGGCATGGCGGCTCTCACCTACAATCTCAGCACTTTGGGAGGCCAAAGCAGGAGGATCACTTGAGCTCAGGTGTTTGGGACCAGCCTGGGCAACATAGCGAGACCTCATCTCTACTAAAAGTAAATTTTTTTTTTTTTTTTTTTGAGACAGAGTTTCACTCTTGTTGCCCAGGCTGGAGTGCAATGGCACAGTCTTGGCTCACTGCAACCCGGGTTCAAGCAATTCTCCTGCCTCAGCCTCCCTCCCAAGTAGCTGGGATTACAGGCATGTGCCACCACTCCCTGCTAATTTTGTATTTTTAGTAGAGATGGGGTTTCTCCATGTTGGTCAGGCTGGTCTGAAACCCCTGACTTCATGTGATCCACCCGCCTCGGCCTCCCAAAGTGCTGGGATTACAGGCGTGAGCCACTGTGCCCAGCCTAAAAGTAAAATTTTAAAAATTAGCTGGACATCGTAGTGGACACCTGTCATCCCAGCTACTTAGGAGGCTGAGCAGAAGGATCGCCTGAGCCTGGGAGATTGAGGTTGCAGTGAGCTATGATCACACCACTGCCCTGCAGCCTGGGCTACAGAACAAGTCCTTGTATCAAAAATTAAAAATAAAAGTTTTTTCTTCTCAACTTGTTAGCACATTATGTCAAATATGCAAAAAAAAGATTTGTGTGTCTGGAGAGAGAAAAAGAGAGAGAGTATCTATTCTATCAGTCAGAACTCAGCAACCCAGCAAAAACACAGATGGCACTCTCAAGCTGGGTAATACCAAATGAATAAAATGGTATTTCTGTTCATCTCTTTTAGAGTCAGGGTCTCACTCTGTCCCCTAGGCTGGAGTGCGGTGGCTCAGTCATGACTCACAGTAACCTTGAGCTTCTGGGCTCAAATAAGAATGTCTCACACTATAAGTACTTACCACCACTCCCAGCTATTTTGTTTTTAATTTTTTTTTTGAGACGGAGTCTCGCCTTGTC